ACTGGGGGGCTGGACGGAAGCAGCAGGGGGTCAGTTTTGGTCTAGGAGCATGAGATGAGTTTTTGGAGCAGTTTGGAGAGCGTGTGGGAGGAGGATTACAAGTATGAGGGAAGAATCATGACAGATTTATCACAGCTTGAAATAAATTAACCTCTGGGAGGAATGATTTTGTAATAATTTACATTCAGATACTCTGACACATCCAAATAACCCCAAACCTTCTGCAAACATTGTAATGAATTCAATCTCCAGCATTCTGTGAGAGGGATAGAAATAGCACTATTTACATGGTTAAAGGAGCCAAGGACTCTTCTCTCAGTATTGCATCTTACACCCCTGGGACTGCCCTTCTCTCTTGTTTTTGTGGCTACGGAGCCTCATGGTGGGGTGAAAATGCAGCAGCAGTGAACAGCTAGAGAGCTTTGCTGAACTCAGCTGAGATCCTCCCGCCCCAGTGTGTTACACCACACACAGTGGTCGCAGCGGCTCCCAGCACAGCCCGTGGCAGGTGGGCCCGTGGCCGAGGGGAGCCTGCATGGACCAGGACAGTGAGGCTAGGAGCACACGGGGGAAGAAGCAGGGAGCTGAGCCCTGTCTCAGCTCATGTCGGTGGTGGCTGTGGGCAGGTCTATTCCCCTTGCAGGGATTCTGCCACAAAGCAGCCGGCTCCATCCCTGAGGGGAAAGTGGTCAAGTGATTTAATATTCAGCATTCTCAAATGCAGTAATGAACTTGATAGCCAAAATGATCTGCTAACCCAGCTAGCTGAGAGGGTATTTGAAGGATGATCCAAGCCCGTAGCCAGGCAGTGTGATATTTTCTTGTCATCAGCCTCCTGCCTATTCCTTTCCACTCCAGGGCAGTTAATCAGAAACGAGATATTTGTTCAATGCTGTTTTCATGCATGCTCTGCCCTGTCTCCATTTCCAAGAGACTGTGAAGTCTGTGGGTTACATCCCACCCCGACTTCGGCAGCCTTTGCAGGAGAGCCGGCTCTTCCAGGGAGACCCAAACTGAACCACACATTTTGGCTGCCAAAGGCTTGGGCAAGCCGATAGTTTTCTGAAGGGAAGCCGAGCATCCCAAAGTGCATCTTCTCTTACTTACAAATGTGTCTTAAATCCAGAGTGCTTAGGGCAGCACGGAGCTGGTATTAGCTGAGCCATCGAATGCACCCTGGGCGCCTCCATGCTGCACTGCCAGACCTGCTCAGCTGGGGGGCTGCAAGTCAAGGGCTGGGGAGCGATGGCTGGGTTTCAGTTACAGATTCATATGGGGTAGTGTAATTCTCTTTGGGCCTGACCCAGAGTTGGCCTGAGTCACTGGCAGCGTATCTGTTATCTTCAAGGAGGTTTGGAGCCGCTCTCTGCTTGCTGCCGGTTTGGCTTCTGCTGTGCTTACTTGCTTTCTGTAAAGCCCTTCCAGGGGCTGGGAACATGCGCTCTCGAGCAAGTGGTTAGCAACATGTCAGCTGTGTACAAGGGGAAATTTCTCTGACACAGCAGTGGAGAGGAGAATGCACACAGTGTCTTGCAGATTTACTCCTTGTAAAACACCTCTAGCTCTCCATAGATACCTGCAGATAATTTCCTGCCAGGTGAAGCCGGAGATATTTATAGTGCAGCTTCAGTGATGACATAAGGGCAAGTTAGCAAACAAATGAACTTTGAAATATAAGGAGAACAAAAATACAGTCTAGAGTGCGTTTATTTTGGAGTCAATAAAAAAAGGTTAAATAATAATAGTGAATGTTTCCAGGGTGGGTCAGGTTAAAAAGCCAAAAAAGCAAAGCCTTTTCATAGTGCTGTAAGACTGTTTTGTGTGCACTGAGTTTGAATTACAAAGACAAATGATAAAAACTTTGCTTCCCACTGAGGTAAAGTGCTGTGGTGCTGAGTATCATACAAATGCCTGCAGAAAGCTAAGATAAATGTCGCTTCAAAAGGGACTGAAACTGCTCTGAGTTCAAGCATTAAAAAAATTCTGTATTCAATTCACAAAATTGTGTAAAATTAAGCAATTTTAGCTATGGGCGTGACTTTTCCCTTGCTTTCTGTCTTTTTCCCCTGTCTCTTTCCCCCTCTGTTCCGTGGTGCTGGCTGGTTGGAGGTTATTTGAAGCTTTGCTAGCACAGCAAGGTATTGGACTGATGCCATCCTGCTGAAACACGCTCTCTGCTTTGCCTGGGGTGGGAGCGTGGAGGTTTTTGTCTGGTCATGTCACGTTTTAATTAGCGCGCCTCACACTTCTGGTGCTCCTCATTGTTCATCAGGGAGCTTGGGTGCAGCACGGGGCTCTTCCTCCCCGTCCATCTTCATCCTGGGGGCAGGCCCTGTTCTTTCCCAGAGGCAATCCCCACGCTTTCCCCCTTTCTTTTGTTTCTAAAGCCTGTGCGGGGGAACCTGCCTGACCGGCAGCTTTGATGAACATGTAGGTGTCTCCTTGCTGGGGTGGCCACGTTTGCTCTCCCTACTTTCAGGCAGGTCTCCTGCCCAAATCCTGCCTGAGGGGGTAGGAGACCATTGCACAGCCAGGCCCTGCTTACTGGCAGCAGGCCAGGAGATGGGAGCTCCCCAGGCAATCAGATCCCACTGCTTTATCTTGGTTTATCAAAACAGGGGATTTGTAAAGGATTGTTCATGACTTAGGCTGAACCTGCAAGCCCTGGTGGGTAACGGTGCACGGAGAAGTGGCGGGAGTGCTCGTGCTTTTGGGTGCTATCGAGTGCAAGGGCTCGCAGGACCAGGACCTCATCTGCAAAATTTATCAGCGACTGAGCAGGTGGTGATAAAGGCAGTCTTTGGGAACCATTGGGATCCTTTGGGATCCATTTCCTTGTTTTAGGCCTTTCAGAGAGGCCAGGCACTGAAAAGGCCTCACTTCGTCCTGAGGGCACCAAGGGCAGTGTGGAAAGATGCATACTGCAGTAAAAGAGCTGTCAACAAAACTTCGATCCTCATCAGAAATCCTGTGGCAGCAGAAATCGGAAGGAAGAGGCTGGACAAGAAGAAAGTTTTTAATTTGCCATGATAGGAAACAAAGCTGTGTCTTGTCAAAAAAATTATAGCTCCCTTTTTCTGCCTGTCTGTCACGTGTCAGCAATCCTCACGATGACTTTCTTGTACAAATACAGCTTTACAGGAATGAGCTCAGGGAATGAATTGCAACAATCTAGTTTGTGAAGGAAGGAAAGGCTTAGGCAAGCACTGTAACTTAAATTGCATTTGGTATGGCAATTATTGAGCCACATGATGTTTATATTTGACGCAGTTTTTATATTGAAGCAAGTTGCTGCTTTTCCTGTTGCTTTGACAGTGTGGCGCAGTGGTGTCTGGGTACTCATGGGGACTGGGAGGGGGGTCCCGTGGGACACGGGAGCCCATGGGACATGCTGCCCTCCCTGACGCTCCTCTCAGCTGAGAGCACGACACAAGCCTGATGATGGGAGTTATTCTCCTGCGAAAGCTGGTGAGCAGCAATTCCTGTCACATAGGCAGGAAGGCTGCTCTGTTGGTGCAAACGCACACGATAACCTGTTTTCCAAGGGCAGGCTCACCCCAGCACCCTGCAGAGGTTGCTCCAGAGCTGTCTGTGAGCAGGGACCTGAGGGCCAGCAAAATGCAAACTCATCCTGAATGGCTTCTGCCTAAAATACATCAACTACAGAGCACTCCTGTCAAAATTGCTCTTAGTCAGGCTACTAATGACATGGCATTCACAAGGGTAGGACACATGCCCAGTTTCAAAGACCCTTTACCCTAAGGCACCCATTTGCTAAGGGCTCTATGCTGGAAATAGCTAAGGACTTTAATGGGAGACTCTGGAGGACTGTGCACATTCAGGATTTGAAGCTGTCGAGACATACAAGATAAAACACGATTTTAAATATATGTTTCAGCTCAGCTATGACGTTAAGACAGCAGTCCTGTAAAACTGCCAGCAAAATCACTGGCAATCCCAATGAAATTATGTTAAGCATGGTAACTTCTTTGTAATTGGTTTATCTCAGTGCGTGCTTTGAACAAGGGGCTTTTTTATTCTTTAAGAAAAAATAACCCTGATGTTTGATTTCATTCAAATGAATTCTTATTGCTGGGTAAGGAGAAACGTAGGGTGTGTTTGCAGGTGGATGTGTCTTTGTTTGTAAGGACTCATAAGAACTTAAGCAATTATTTTTAAAACGTTGCTGACTCTGCCTATGCAAACGCTTGCTTTTTCACAATAAAGAAATTGCAGAGGGCAAGAGGAGCTCCCATACTGAAAAATTTTTCAATTTGACTGCTGAGTCCTCTTACCTTTCCTGTTCTTCCGTATAGCAAAGGGTGTATTCAATCAGTGATTGTCATAGCAACCCTTTTTTGGGTGGTCTTGTCTCTTTCTGGGAGACAAGTTTTTCACTGAAAAAATAGTAAATGGGCAGATTTCAAAATGTGTGGAGGGGAATTAGTCACCCAAATTCCACTGGCATTCAGCATGTCTGTCTTTTGAAAACTTCTCACTAGTCTCACCTCTCTGGTTATGGAAATGCCTTCTCAGGATAGGTTTTTTTGGGAGGTTGGTTTGTGGGGGGAGCACTTTGGAGTTGGGTTTTTTTTCTTGACAAAGTAGTTTCAAACCGTTGTTCTAATATACTTGTTAAGTCTAATGAGGATGACTAATATGTCATTTAATCAGAGACTTCCATGTCTTCTGGGATTCTAGGCAGAGCTGGATTCTAGGGCAGCCTTTGAGCAGGAGACATTTGTATTTCCCTTCTCCTTGCCCCATGTATGAATTTTATCTCCTTCACTTTTCCTTCCCTCACAGTAAGCAGCGAGAAAATTTGTACCTGCATTCACACTAACCACTATACTAATGCAGGATAACTCAAATTAGGGGGTAAACATGTAAAGCCTGATGCAGATCCAGGTTACTAGGGAGCTAGAATATTTTTATGTTGAGGTTGTCTGGGGTGAAATCCTTCCTTTTCCAAACCTGGCCATTCAACTATATTTTCTCTCATTTTAGGGGAGCACCTGCGAATCTGCCCACAAGGCTATACCTGCTGCACCAGTGAGATGGAGGAGAACTTTGCAAACAAAAGCCGAAGTGAATTTGAAGCCATGATGAAAGAGGCTGGTCGCTCTGTGCAGACAACCCTAACAGCGCAGCACAGAAGCTTTGACAGTAAGTAAAACCTACTCGGTTCACCCCTGCTCAGGATCCAGCCACTGCTTAACTTTCCAAGCACTGTTCCAGACAGGGATTCATGTTCGACACGTCTTCCTCTGCATCTTGCTCCATAGTTTGCGTGAAATGTTGACCTTCAGTAGGAATTGTACCTCTGGCAGTGTTTTTGCAAGACCAAGTCATTTTGAGAACTTCATTTCAGTGAAACCATTGAAGGAGGCTGGCAGGCACTTGTACCAACAAATTGTGTACCTTGGCACCAACACAGCTTTTGCAAGCATGGCGTAATCTGGTCTTACCGCAGCAGCATAACATTTGAGGTAGTGATGTAAAACTTGGCACTGTGCCTTGAGCTTTAAGTTGAAGATTATGGTAAAGGTGACTGGATAGCCCTCAGTAGGTGGGGAAGGTTTATGGAGGCATGGATTTTTCATGTCCTTTCCATATAGATTTCAAATGAAAAGGAGGTTAGTTCACGTTAGACGCTTATAACTTTAAGCTTCATACAAACATCAGAAAATGTTGTACAGCAGTGAAGGTCTTAGAGACTGTGGTGCATAAGATGTTGTGGACAAACATGCTCTCAAAACTACAGTATCCCTCCTAACGTGCTAAGCAAAGGCTAAGGATGGCTCTCTTACTTATATTGTTCCCTGAAGAATCCATTTTGCAGTGCATAGTAAGCCTCAAGGTCTGAAGGCCACTGGAAATAAATGGTTTATTGGCAAAATTGAGATGACCTATGATTCAGAAACTGTATCCATTATCAGATTTTGAAGAAGGTCAGACATTTAGAATCACAGTCCTCCTAACTTTATCAACGGTCATCATATGGAGTTATCATGAAAAGAATAGGAGTTGGGGAAAGAAGCTGTAATAGCCAGAAAGGTGGAACTGGAAATTTCAAGCAGTAAATAATAGATCTAAAGAAATAAGCCTGACCTTCAGTGAGCTGATAACCAAGATTAAGTGCTTTTACACTAAATAGAAAGAAAAGGCAGTGCATCTCTGCAAAATGCATTGTAACTGTGTGGCCAGGGTTGACCACAGCGAAGGCATTCCTTTAAAAGCTCAAAATTAATTGATTTTCACCTGCCTTAAAAAGTGATAACCAGGATTTTCAAAAGATCCTTACAATGCTGGTTGCTCAGACTGATGTCTGAATGGGACCTGGTGTAGCTGCCGCTGAGTGCGCTCGCTGACCTCTGAAATCCAGCCCTTTGCAGGGGTTAATGCAGAACATCCGCCAGCCTTGGAACCCTCTCCCTCCACTGCCTATGGCAGCATTGGCTGGTATATCTGCTCTTTATTTTTGCCACAGACACTTAAAGGAACATAGTTCTACATCTGTCCTGTAAGAGAGTGCAAAATTTGATGGAAGCTTTGAGGATTATATTGACGAGCAAAAATTGCCTAGTGAAGAACTGGTTTAGTGTGAATGTGATGTTTTGGTGGATTGATAATAACAACAGCAGCAATAAGAATAATAGTAAGCAAAACCAAACATATGAAAGGGGGATGCTTGTGTTGAGATGCCAATTAGAGCTGTAAAGGCTTTCCTTTTTTTTCTTTTTTTTTGTTTTTGTTCCCCAGCATTTTACAAAAATAGAGCTTTATTTCTGTGGTGCATACCTGAGTTTCTTTTAAGCATCAAACAAAGTAAGTGTTCAATAAGCCAAACAGACCATAATGCACAGATCATTGGTGTTTTGTAGTGGGAATAACCTCACTTGAGCCCACAAGGCCAAGAAGATGTCTCCTGCTCCTGTTATACCTTTTTAGTTTACTTAACTACCCTTGCAATCGATATAGAGTTTATAATTTATGCAAGACGATTAAAAAAAAACACATCATATTGCATCTGAGTTTCATGACTTTACCTATAAGCAGTATTATTATTTTTTCTTTAGCTACTGCATAAATGATTTAAAATTGAGGGAGTTCTGGTGATGGGGCAATGGAATCACCTCAGCTCCTGAAACAATGCCATAGAAACCACCCTATCTTCCAGTTAATGTTATTAATCTCACAGTTAACAAGACTTTTTGCGGTAGTGCTGTTTAGAGCTGTTCAATAAAGGAGTTTTTTAATGTCAGGTTGATGAATTCTAGTCTTTCTGGCACCGGATGCCTGGTTTTGCTGGATTTCCTTAGCAGCAGCTTAGAGTGCAGGTTTTGGGGTTGCAGAGGTATCGATGCACAGCTTGTCTTCATATTAGCAATTTCGTTTGGCCTTAGGAGGACATAGTGGGGGAGGCTGCACTGGATGGGGATGTCCAACCCTTTCTTGTAGTATTTGCAGCCTGGAGATCAGATTATTCATATATTCTCTGCTAGCAGGTGTGGCACATCGAACTTCAGGCCTGGAGCTGTCTTTTTTAGATTCATCACAGCAAATCTTGCTTCTGTAATCTCACCGCTGATCATAGCAATAATCTCTACTTTTAAATTGCCCGGAAGCTCCAGCTAGAAAATAGCGAGTCTATAGCAATCTGCCTCTGAAGTAATATTCTCCATGCTAGTGTTCAACATTTTGCTTTGGAGAATAATTCATCCTTGCAGGCTGTGGTCTGTAAAGCCCTAAATTGTCAGAGTGCCTCCACTCTGAGCTACAGCTTTATCCCATTGCAAGGAATTATAATCTGTTGTTTCAGTCTCACTGGCTGCTTTTGGGGCAAACACTGTGTGGCCAAGAGCAGAGTGTCCTTTATCTCATACAAAGTATTTTTAGAGAAAATATATGCATGAAATACAGATGACATACAATAGGTATAGCCATATATTCAAAAGTGATCTATATGGAATAGGATCCTATGGTTTGAGCGCGCTCTCTGTGTAACAGAGGACACATGCCTTCTGGGATGCCCTTCCTCCAGGATCTGCCAGGGCTAAATTTAAAGTTTAATAGCCTACAGTATTGCTTAGCTGCTTACTAGTGCATTTTTTGTTTTGCTTTAATTTACTGTAGTTAGCAGGATTTGGGGGCATCAGATTCAAGCTACACATATGGTCATTGGCTTGCTGTTAATCTTTTAGCTGCAAAGGTAGTATTTTGCTCTATAACCGATTGGTTTTAATTTAAAAAAGGGAAAAAAAAAAGGCACAGACCATGAGTGATGGGAGCATATGCTTTTGATAAGTCAGTGTTAAGGAGGACGTTGAGGTCAGACTAGCAGTATTTTGTTAGCAGGATTATACGCACAAATTCTGTGTTAATTCTGATGTCCCAGGGCTCTTGGTCAGGCAGGGAAGGGGATGTAGTTACCTGGGTGCACAGCCTGTGGCCGGGACCTGCTGGAGGCTGCTAGGTTGGTTTTGGTCAGAGTTTATTTGCCTGGAAAATTTTACATACCCCATACTCTAAAAGAAAAAAGTGAATAATAAAAATGAAAACAAGATCGGGAGTCTTGGAGGGAGCTGGGACAGTCTCTATTGAGACTGGTACTAAATATTGTTTTAAAGATGCTACCAACTTTATACGTGCCTCAGAGATTTTAATTGCAGAATGTGCTTGTTTTCAAACTGGTATCATCTCAGTGGACGGGAAATTTTCAGTATCTGTTACTGTAAAATGAAATACTTTGGCAAGGAACTTTGTTCAAGTAGATGGTTTCAAGAAACTGATGAGAGCTGCCTGTTGCCCCCTCTGCCGGCTGCAGAACAGGAATTAGCCAGTAAAGTGCTTTGGTTCTTGAATTCTACTGAGAGCAAGTTATAAACATCGGGCGGTTTGGGGGATATTCCTTGGGAAAATGAGCTTTTTTTTGCATATCACACAACTGTATGTCAGTTTTGCACAAAATCATGGGACTTTCAAACTCCTGTCCTTCCCAATGAAACTTGTGCCTCCAAAATCTGTTACAAAGATGAGCCTGGAAAAACCTCTGGACCATGCAGGAAAGGCCAGAGGAGTGATTTGTGGTGCCTGGTCAGAGAAGTCACGTTCAGAGCCAGTGCAGCCTGGGGTGGCAGCACGGGCTGGGGATGCATGGCTGGCAGAGGGGGTGGAAAGAGGGAGCAAGAGCAAGTGGTGCTTAGACTGACAGTCAGGGGCTGCAAGCAGCAAGGAACAAGGCTGTTTTTCTAGTCTTGATGAAAGCTCACTTGTTGAGAGTCTAATCCTTGTCTGTCTCTTTTCTCCCTTTTTCCCCTCTTAAATCACTTTTTAATAATACTGCAATGTTGTGCCAATCTTTCCTTCCCAATCATTTTGGTACACTTAGCAAGTGCTCCCTGTGTGACTGCTGACCTTTAGCTGTGAGCCAGGAAATCTGTCCTTTCAGAATTGTTTCATGTTTTCAGGAAATATCAACAAGCCAAACCAAAAATCTTGGCTTTTATTCCACACTGCACAGTCTAAAAATGATTTGTAGCTCTCATAAATTCTGGGATTTTTAAGCTGTGGCAATTAAATGCAGATTAAAAATTATGTATTTTATAGGTGGCTGCTCATTGGAAAGTTGATGCTGTGTAAAAGCTTTCCTAATGTCCAATGTTGGTAGCTGGAAATTGCATATGCTGAAACACAGACCATGCAGATAATCAACATTATTTGAGAGTTAGTTTTAGACGGTTACATATTTCTTATGAAGATGGATCATTGTTTTAAATGTTACAGGGTGGGGAATGTCCTAGAAGCTGTTACACACTGATGGTTAAAACTTTATTAGAGATTTCTAAAGGCCCCTTGTTTAAAATTCAGCCAAATGTGTCTTTGTCAGAGGAACTGACTTACTTAACCCACAGTACCTAGGGTTTCAGCCCCTAAAAGGACTGTTTGGGCAGAGAGGCATATGTAGATATATTTATTTACATATACTGTGGATGCTTAAGGAAGCTGATCAGGAGGCTGTGGAGTAAGCCCAGCAGGCAGAGCTCTGTCCTACCCCGCTGACTTTAAACCTGGACTACAAAATACAGATCTGAATCTGTATTTTGCAGGTATTTTCTCAGTTGATGATAACATGAACCAAGCCCTGCCATCCTGAAATTTTAAGA